TGACCCTCTGCAGGTGGTGAGTCCACAGGAGGACGGCTGCTCTCTGAGTGTGAGCATAGCCTTGATCTTTCAGTGGGGGCTTTGGGCAAAGTTGGGTTAAGTGTCTTGCCCAAGGACACAACGACAGCAGTCATCAGTGGGAGTCGGTGGAGAAGTGGAGAAGTGCAGAGGTGGGAATTGAACCCACGACCTTCAGGCCTTAAGGCCAATGCTCTACCAACTGAGCTACTGTCGCCCAACCACCACGGGTCGTTCTATCTAAATAGCAAACATATTGTGGAAGATCAGCCACACAGAGACGGGGTCCTTGCGCACCAGAGCTACTGGAAGTTTATTCAATTTCCTCCAGGTTTCAGTTGTTTCAGTTTTTTCAGGTTTTTTCAGTATTTTCAGGCAGAACAAAGTCGGGACATGGTTTACATAGTCATTGTTACGTCACAGATATGTCACACACAGAAAGGCATACGTGTCGCATCCAGAGACAATCAGAACATATCAGAGTCATAACATGGAAACACAATGGGACCTTGTGACCGTGAGGGCCAGATATTTTGTCTTGCGTTTGTCCACCTGCGTAGGCCATAGCTATCTATTCACCACAATATTAACGATTACAAAACCTGTGAGCTGATTGGCTGAGCTGGGGCGGGTATCTCTTTTAAAGCTGTTATAGAGTTCACATATGCATGCATGTCAATCCACATTAGAGATGGTTTTAAAGACACTAGGTTTTTCCAAATTTTAGCATTTTTAAAATTGTGTATCTCGCCTTTAAAGGATCTATACCCGTTTCTGCAAGGTGTGAATGTTTAGCACCGCCCCCCAACTCGCTGACAGGCTTCTCATTTCCCCTTCGCTCTCCTCCCACGAAGCCATCTAGTTTTATTTGCGATCTGATACATATGCTAACATTAGCATTAGCACAACTTCTTGCAAGCTGTACAACAATCACTGATGAAATGGTACAAAAGCAACGCACTGCTAACAAAATATATAACTGAAAGATTACTGAATGCAGTCCAAGCATAGATAGTCTGAGGCGGTCCCGCAGGTCTCTCCCATAGACAAGTCTGTCCAGAGGATACGATGTAAGCTAGCTATGTTCACCCGGGCTTGGTTTCTTCTTTGATCATTTTTTTGCTTTAGTTCCCTCTTCTCTTCCTCACTGTTGTGTCGTTTGGACTGTTTTGCTGTGTATACAGTTACAGTAAGAAGAGTTATAGCCAGTTCTGCTAACATGCTACTGTGTTAAGCAGCGCTGTAGAAGCTAGAGGACGCAGCCTTGTTCTGTGAGTGGAGGAGAACGAGAGTCACGCTATGTTTCTACTCAGCACTTTTATACGGCCTGAATTCTTACACAGCTGAATCAATGAGCTCAAGTTTTCAATTAAATTACGGAATATAATACAACTTGTATGTAGTAATAAGCATTTTTATGAACTCATTAGAAAAAAAATCCGGTATAGCTTCTATAATCAGTGCACGCAATGGACCATGAACTTCTCTCTGTGTCTTCAAAGACACCACCACTACTACACATGCTAAACTGGCTGTTTTATGCTTTTTAAAACATCTTTTCTTCTTACTTTTGTCTGCTTTTGCGCGCTTGTTGCCCTGTGCGCTTCGGATACACATCTTGCACTCAATATGTCACTCTTTTCCACAGAGTACAAGGGGATTACTTGTTTTTCTGAAGCTTTCACACACCTTTTATTTAAACAAATCATTCACTCTGGTTCTTGAAAGGAATTCGACACACGTGAATGACTATATTGGGGGCTTTAAAGTTGGAAGCCCATCCCCCAAGCTTCCCTCTCTATTACTTTGACACTGCATACAATCAGCGCTGCTTGTTCACACATGCGCTACACTGGGGTGAGAGCTTCCCCAAAGAGCTGCTCTCCAAACTTGTAAAAAAAAAAGGACAAATTGTAAATAAAACATGTTGATAAATACAATCTACCAGCCGCGTTTGTTAACTGGCTCTATGAACCCTCAGCAATTTTTTATTTTTTTTTACAATAATTTCCAAAAGCATTGTGAAGAAAATGACGCAGGGGTCTGTGGTCGTGTCACAGACAGAAGACATGTTTTATTGTCGACGGTAGAGACGAGATTTGAACAAAGACTTTACAGAGTGGCATAAACAGTCCCATCAACAGCTGCTTTGGCCTTCAGATAACCAAAACATGAAGTGGAAAACACTGCCTTATGCCTGGTTAGAATGAAAAACTCACGTTTAACCAAAATTGCTTCAAAAGTGTCATGAAATATCCAAACTCCTTTGGTCACACATTCACGCCTGGCCATCGGAATGGATTAAAAACAACACTACATCTTAAATTGTTTGAGGTAAGTTGGTGCCTGAAACATATCTTGATCATATTCTCTTGGTGTTTCATGTAACCAACACTTCCGTCAAGTGGTGGAAGCAGGACATAACGTTCTGCAGGTTTATTATTGAAATCCAAGAGGCCGGGGTCTAATTGATGGCACAATGTACCTAACTTTTTATTTTTTTCCTAAAAAGTCCCAAAAGAAAGAGTTTTATAAATGTACACTCGAACCCTGTGAGTCTCTTATTGACACTTTAGGTTGAGAGCTGATTGGTTGAGTGGATGTGGTCTTCTCTTTTTTATTTTTCTGAGCTAAATATGTGACAAAGGAGTATGCATGCATGTGAAAACTAGTGATGGAAACAAACATTTTTAGATCTGTGACATGGATATATGTATCCCAGCTTTTTGAATGTATTTTACTCTTGAATGAGATTTGCCAACTTATGCTTATTTTCACAGCATTTAAGCATTTTTCATTTAGACTTACTGTACATTATTTTTGCACGGGGGGTATTCCACATTGTTCCACAGGAGGTAAAAGACCATAAAACAGATATAGAAATTAAAAATCTGTAAGAACATTTTTGAGAAACAAGAAGGCAGGTCCCAGAGCTCATGTTGCAATTATGCTACTTTGGCGCCTTAAGGCTTTTATGAGATTTCATAACACTTTGAAGCAACTTTTGTTAAAGTTAAACTCATCATTCTATCAATGTGCAGAAGCCAGTACTTTTCCCTTGTTTTGTCTATCTGAAGGCCAAGCTACAAGCACACCGTGGAAGCTGCTGATTGGAGGTCTCCATGCCTCCGCTCTGTATAATACACTTGCATTCTCTTGTATCTGTGATTGTGTGCTTTGTTCGTGCTGTCTCTACCATCGACAATAAAACATGTCTTCTGTCGGAATGTAAGACACGATCCCAGACATGTCACCTTCTTCAGGTGGTGGAAGGATGCGGGCATTGTCTGTAACATCTAGAGAACAGGAGACTACTTTTTTTTTTTACACAAAAATGTGTTTTTTTTTTTAAGCCAAAACTGAAAAACCTCAAGAGAATGCATCTGGATCAGCACTTGGACAATCTGCACAGCCCCTGATTCCACTCAGGCTGTGAGCTGCTGAGACATGGACAATACCATCGTCCTCTTTTGCATGGACATCATTTGGAACAATTGGATTACAAAATTTGGACATCATTTGGAACAATCTGGATTTCTGAATTTGGACATAATTTGGACTGAATTGGATTGCTGAATCTGGACACTAAAGCTGAAACGTGTGATTGAAAGACACGTCACAGAAGAATTCATGGCTCGGCACAAATGCAGCCTGAAGAAATCAACAGAGAAGTGGGAGAGACTGTTTTCAAAGCAATATCTGGAACCACCATCGACTGATGAAGTTTGGTATTTTACTGAAGATTGTTGACAAGTTTTATGAAAGATCTGAAAATGTTTTATGAGTTTTCTGAGTTTTTGAAGTATTCCGAGTTCTGAGTTTTTTGAGGTACCGAGTGAAGTACCGAGTTTATGAGTTTTTGAAGTATTGAGTTATGATGTTATGTTGCTGTTTATCGATCCTGATGGTCACACGTGAATGTATGACCAGAGGGGGGAATATGAGATTTCATAACACTTTGAAGCAACTTTTGTTAAAGTTAAACTCATCATTCTATCAATGTGCAGAAGCCAGTACTTTTCCCTTGTTTTGTCTATCTGAAGGCCAAGCTACAAGCACACCGTGGAAGCTGCTGATTGGAGGTCTCCATGCCTCCGCTCTGTATAATACACTTGCATTCTCTTGTATCTGTGATCGTGTGCTTTGTTCGTGCTGTCTCTACCATCGACAATAAAACATGTCTTCTGTCTGAATTAAAGACGCGATCCCAGACTTGGCACATCCTCTTCACTTTAAATGGCTTAACAATAATGTTAAAACAGGGGAAGGGTAAAATAGCAAAAAATGGCAAAAGTCTAACTTACTTAAAATTGCATACAAATGTCAAAAATCAAAAAAATATTTTACAAGTCGAAACTTTCCCATTATTCAAACGTGACCAAAACACACTAGACACAAGTATGCAACCATTTGCACGCAAAAAATACTAAAATACTAAATACTAAATACTTTGATGCTGTAAACTGCACGACGTCTTTATCTCTCTCTCTCTCTCTGTCTCTGTCTCTCTCTCTTTCTCTCTCTCTCTCTCTCTCTCTCTCTCTCTCTCTCTCTCTCTCTCTCTCTCTCTCTCTCTCTTTTCACACAGCTTGGAACCCAAGCGCAGTCACACAGGCACACATGAAGCAAACACACGCACTCGCTACTTCCATCTCCCCATTCAAGCTGGATTTCACACTTTTAACGACCACTAAGCGAAGTCCGGAGCGCGCCTTCGGCTCCCCTCTTCCCTCATCACACAAAAAAACCCAAAACCCGCGCGTATTCATCCATACGCGCTTTGAACGGCCACGCGTAAAACCACTCCAAACCCTCTTTTACGCACGGACTTTTTGGAATAATTACACAACTTTTTCGCACTGACAGCTAAACCGTCGTCCCCTGTATCTACATTTGTGTGTTTGTTGTTCGACAGCAAAGACGAACTCACCGGGACGTGTGCAGCTTGCCCGTAGGAGAGCGCTTGTGCCCCGCAGCGGAGCATGGAGTCTGGGTCGCTTCGGCGCGTGAGTGGAGCGGTCCGACACCTTCTCCTGGCCCTGCTCGCCTTCTTCGGGACACAGCCACTACGAGTGGAAAGCGCATCGTGGTGGTGAGTACAAGTCTTTTACTAGGACCACCACAAATAACTTGCCATGGTAATATAATCGCATTTTATTTTTTAGAATTTGATGGTACTTGAATTGGTCATATATATAAACCTATACATGTAAACCTATTTACATACAGGTAATAAATGCATTACATATTAAATCTGGGATATCTAACTTTAGAAAATTAGATATTTTTTATTGGATAAAAATAGTAATAAAAACCATAGAGTTCCTTTCTTTGAAAAAAGTTTAGATCTTTTTCTAGTTATCACATGTTACATGTTTACATCAGCTTTTTCAGACAGAAAAACCCAACGTTTCAATTAGTGTCACACAGGGTTCTTTCTTCAGTAAGTTAGTAAGATTAGCAACTTTAGTAACAACAAACTGCATGTTGTTGTCTGATACTTTCAGGATGCTTTTAATTTTACAAGACTTTCTGTATATAGGGACAAGCAACATATTATTTCTGTTCTAAAAGTAAGGTGTCCCAACAACGATTAGACATATGCATTTTTCATTCATTCACTCTCTTTCTGGGCATGGGTCCGTCACCTGCCCCTCTCATGAAATTGGTGTCTTGTTATTCATGAATATAGCTTCCACAGTTGAGTTTTTATTTGCAGAGTCAAGCTTTGTCTGTGAATTTGCTCGTTACCATGGTGATTGTAAGATTCTGTGCAATTTCAAAACAAAACAAATTGTATATTATTATTATTTTTTGTCCTTTTTGAGCTTTTAACCATGTGACAATATTGTTCCTCATCAAAAACAAACACATGCCCTTCTGTGTAAATGCTCTGTTTTTAGGGTTATAGCTTTGGTTAGCATTATTCTGTGATCAGTAAATATGGACTGAAGAGCTGAGGCACCTCAAGTGTTTTGTCCCATCAGAAAGAGTCTCTAGAGTTCTAAGAGATTATAAACTAAGACCTCATGCTGTCCTCATCTTTTTACACAACATGTTATCACAAGAGCCCTGCGAGTCACTATTTGACACTTTGGGCTGAGAGCTGATTGGCTGAGTGAGGGTTCCTTTTCACGTCTCAATAACATGCATGTGAGAACTGTTTTGAAGGTGAGAGAGGAGTTGGATTTGATGACACATTGTAGTTATTATTATTAATTGTTTTTCAAAGTTTGATGCCCCAGCTTTAATGCAAAGGCACTTTTTCAGCTGGGTCCTGGGTCTTTCCCTTCGGCCACCTCCGAGTGGGATGTACCCGTACCACCTCCTCAGAGAGGGGTGGAGGAGCAGCGTCTCAACTCTGAGCTCCTCCATTGTGGCAGAGCTGATTACTCTCTCTCTCAGGGAATAAATGCAGAGAAAACTTGAATCTGCATGTTTGTACTGCAGGTCATAATCCAAAGCTGGTCTGAATTCTTAATGTAATCTAGTATTTTTATTTTTCAGTTCAAAAACATGAACTTTCTGAAATGGAAATTAACGTTAAATTAAGTATAATACTATCAAATTAACTGAAGTACTGAGACTTGAATATGCTTTCTGGTACAAAAAAATAGTAGAAGTGTTAAAGTAACTACTACAAACTTGATTTCCACTCACCTGTTTTCAATCATTTTGGTTTTGTTTTCTGGTTTTAGTTCCTGGTTCTCAACGTTACATGAACATGTTTTATTTGCATTTTATTGCACAGAAAAAGTATGACCCAGTGAAGTATGAAGTATTTGTTATTTCCAAGCTTGCCATCACTCTATTGAAAATTTCCTTTATTTCTTTTGTGCTCCTGATTCCTCCTGTGTGTGCCGCTGTATTTGCTGCATGACAAGGATTTCTGAACTTATTTTTCATAGTTTGATAGTGTATGGCTCTCATAGCTCCCTGTTTGAACAATAACAATAGTGTGGTTAATGGAGCAAATGCGCAGGCCCTGTCACAATATTGACCCTGCCACGGGCCAAATGGAGTGTGGCGGCCTGCTGCTGGGACCCTCCTACCCCTCACCAAAAGCCCTGACCACAGCACTGACCACTGACCACACCCATCCATTAATGTATACCAAGAACCAGTATTAGCCCACATACAGTATTAATGAGATGTCGGGCTGGGGGTCACTGTTTTTATGAAGAAGGCAGAAGAGTTGAGTGTAGTCATGATTTATTTCAACGTTTGTCGTGGCGTAATAATAAGTCTGCTTCGTCCTTCTCCTCTTACTCATATAACACACTCAGAAACGACACAAGCCCAAACGCTCTCTGACCCTACACTCCTCCCCATCACAGTTCTTCTTTATGAATGGAGGATACAATAAGAGCAGAGTGTTGGTGTAGATGACTTTATATTTTCATCATTCAATCAACACACTTTTGTCCTCTGGTAACCTATCAGAACTCCTTTAGATGTATTTTTCTATTGTGCATCAAAAACAATCCCATATGTTGGGCCTTTATACATTTAAGGACAATTCATCATTTTATTACTCTCAAGCCAAATTTTAATTCTGTTTATTCTGAAAAAGATGCATGGATGAATCTGAATCCAGCAGGATGTCCTTTGTCACTTTAGTCTTGTTTCTGGAAAATACACATAAATATGTTTTGGTCAAATTGAATGATTCATAGTTAAAGATGCTATACCCGATTTTTTTTTTATGTGTTCATAAAAATGCTTTTTACTACATACGAGTTGTATTATAATCCGTAATTTAATTGAAAACTTGAGCTCATTGATTCAGCTTGTGAATGAATTCAGGCCTTATTAGAGACTTGTGTGATGCCCGCTCTCCTCCAAACACAGAACGGTCGGCACTAGATCATTTACGGAATCGGGACGAAACCAGAAGTAACAATCCTACTTTCGAATTAGTTTTAGGCCCTGTCCACACGAAGTCAAGCTCAGGCCTAAACGCAAAAATACTTTATCAATCCAGTGTATCGTCCATACGAGGCCGGCGTTTTGGGGGGGTGTAAACGAACATTTTTTAAACTAGGTCCCAGAGTGGAAAGATTTCAAAACTCCGTATATGCCGCTCCGTGGTTACTGCCTCTCCGCAATGTATCTGAGACGCTTGCGTCATCGCCCCGCCTCTTGTTAAAGCACGCATGCGCCGCACTCAGAAAATAATGACACTTTCTTGTAGCTTGTTGGTTTTGTAATCCAGTGTGACCCGAAGCAACAGTTCAACCTCATCGTCCGTCCATACTAATGTAGTACCAGCTCGCCCACTCGCCATGTTGTCTGTTTACAAAATTCTGCGCATGACCAGTTCCCGTCACGGAAGTTTGGGCTTGATCCCGTCATTGCGTCACAGCGCCACCAACAGGTCTGGCATAGTTTCACAGCGTTTTCAGGCGTATTGACTACATTCATATGGACGCACACATTTACTGAGCTAACTCTGTGTTTACAGAAAAGTTTCTGAAATTATAAGCGTTTTGTCTTCGTGTGGATATAGCCTTAGACTAATAAGTCCTTAAGTGGTGACTGGTTAAGTTTTAGGCGTCTGAGTAAGATGGTTAAGGTTAGGGTTAAGGCTGGGTTGGGGCTATTTTATGGAAATGGCTGGTTAAGTTTACCATGAATTGGTAGTTTGTTGTATTTACTTCCGCTTCTGTCCCGATTCCGTTTATGATCTAGTGCTGACCCTCACAGAACAAGGCTGCGTCCTCTAGTTTCTACAGCGCTGCTGAAAACAGTAGCATGTTAGCAGAATTGGCCATAACTTGCTGTAACTGTATACACAGCAAACAGTCCAAACAACACAACAGTGAGGAAGAGAAGAGGGAACTAAAGCAAAAAAATGATCAAAGAAGAAATCAAGCCTGGGTGAACATAGCTGAAACTAGCGGTATTCTTTCAGTTATATATTTTGTTAGCAGTGCGTTGCTTTTGTACCATTTCATCAGTGATTGTTGTACAGTTTACAAGAAGTTGCGCTCATGCTAATGTTTGCATATGTATCACAAATAAAACTAGATGGCTCCGTGGAATGAGAGCGTAGAGGAAATGACCAATGGCTCTATGTGTTTTGTCATATTGCATTTCTTGTGTTTGATTTTCTGATCTGTGTTGAAACATTTGACAGTTTTGTAAAGTCCTCTGAGACAACTACTGTTGTCACTTGCTGTGAAAAACAAAAATACATTAAATCTAATTGAAAAGTAGATTAGCCTGAATTTCTGCACATTTTTCTACGTTCATGTTCAAGAGTGGTTGTCTTCTAGCCTCACAAATTGATCGTGCTCATATCGTCATCACGTTGCACACTCTCAAACCACTACAGCTTTTGGAGAGTGCGATCATCAGCTTGTGTGGATATCTTTTGTGTCATAGGTCCATGGCCATGACGTCCATCCAGCGTCCAGAGATGTACATCATCGGAGCACAGCCTCTGTGCAGTCAGCTGTCCGGCCTCTCCCAGGTACACACACCAAACAATACACACCACACAACACACACCACACAACACACACCACACGATACACACCACACAACACACACCACACAACACACACCACACACTGCACAAACTCACGCTTCAATTCTTGAACTCAGTATAAGTTTATGTATGTGCACAAAGTAGAATAGTTGACTGGTTTGACGACATTTTTCATTGGTTACAAGCAGAGGGGAGAGTTGAAAAGATCGGAGCACGATATAGGCATGAAAAACTAAAGAAGACATTTTATGCAAATTTAACCGCGTTATGATATTGTTCCTCATTCGTTTGTTTTTCCAAGCGAAACTCTTGCACAAACATTCCTGTAATAGCAATGACATCACGCTCTGAGCCTTTTAAGACAAATGTATTGTCCATAAATCAGTTTTGGCATTTTCTCAAATAAAAATGTATTCCTTACAATTGCTAATTTTCACATTCTAAAACACAAAATGGAATTAAATGGCATTTTATGGCCATCTATTGAATATTAAGCGTGCAAATTAGTTATTTGACATTTTCTTGAGAAAGATTTAATTTGTTTTTTAATTACTCGGAATCTCTTTTCTCTGAGACTTTTGCCTTAGTAAAGGTAAAATTAAAATTAAAATCAGCTGTGGAAAAAACATTTTAATTAGTGCTGTCCAAAATATTGAGTTATTAATGCGTCAGAGCAAATCAACATTAACGCTGTCATTTCTTTAGATCATCGGATTCATTTGTGTGACCTTTTTTTTTTAGCTGTGGCCACTGTTAGTAGCGTTAGAAAAACCAGAGAAACCAGAAACAGGAACCAGAACCTCCAGTGTTCTCCTGTTTGCTATATGCTACGTAACATTTACATCATTTGTGGGGATTCTTGGGGGCCTCCTAACCTTTCCTTGGGGCCCGAGCAGCTTACTTTATAAATTGTGTAGGAGCGGCCCTGATGACTGACCAGTCTTATCACCTCAGAGTCTATAGCTCTAACCTCACGGTGTGGCTTTCATTCGTATCTATATTTTTGTATATTCTCACGTGTTATCCGCTGGTGCACACCTGCTCTCTGTGTGTTCTCAGGGCCAGAGGAAACTTTGCCAGCTGTACCAGGACCACATGATGTACATCGGGGACGGTGCCAAAACAGGGATCAAAGAATGTCAGTTCCAGTTCCGACAGCGGCGGTGGAACTGCAGCACGGTGGAGGACAGCACGGTGTTCGGGCGCGTCATGCACATTGGTGAGTTTGGTTGTGGCCGTGTTGTTGTTAGCAGCTCACAGCCGCTTGAGGTGGGAGGCGCTGTCCAGCGCGGCGGCAGCTGCCCCGGGTCAGAACGATGCGGCCACGGAGGACTTCAGTTCATGCAGCAAACAACAGCAAGCGCCCCGCGGTCATGCGCATATTCTTTTAAAACTTTAAATCACTTTTAAAACTCTCCATCTCACACGGGGCGGGTCATTCGGACATGCGTTAAACGCGTAGGGTTTTTTTACGCGATTAATGAAAAATGTAATTAACACAAGAAAAAAAGTAATTTGACCAACAGGAAAACAACATGAACAAGGCCAAAGATTAATATTTTTTATATATATAACTATGAATCTTCAAATACATATTTTTAATATTTGGCCCGGTTGTGATTGAACCTACTAGACTATAAAATAATGTCTGTAACTCTCTAAATAAAAATATTTGTCAAAATACAAAAATGTGTTCATTGAATTTCAATATATTAAACATGAAAAGAACACAAATACGTTTTTTTTTTTTTAGAATGAATGTAAACCACTTTTGGTCCCAACCAGTGGGGTCGGGTTTCGGCTCAAAAGTGGCCAAAATGACGTGCGCTGACATGCTTGCAATACCACCCCGGGCCGATGGGGGTGAACCCAGAAGTAGAATTCGGGCGTTCTGCTCTCCCAAAATTCCATCCACTGAGCGGCGCTGTGATCAAAAAATGACACCGTTTGTTGCCCAGTTCACTTCCGGTTGATTTCATACAATGGCGAATATGGCTCACAAAAACAACAAACGATTGACAGTGCCTGAATTGCGTGAAAGGTTGAAGCAAAAGGGTATTTGCAGTGTGGGAAAACGAAAGGAGGAATTGTTGTTGCTAGTTCAACGAGCGGATGGTGTTTATGAAGATTTAGAAGAAGATGACAGCGAGCAGAGTGAACGAAAACGGCTGTGTGTGCGAGTGACAGATGGTAACAATGAGAATGAAGTTCAGCTAAGAGGGAAGAATGTGAATTGGACGGATGATTTGCGCGATATGCCACTAGTTAGAGACGGGAATGTATTTGCATACAGAAAATGACGAAAACACTCAACCATTTAGAGAAAATGCGCCGGGCAGAGAGAACCGGAAGTTGCGAAGGCAAGTGTTACCCATAATGCAACGCAAAATTCAGTCGCTCCCCCGCCCATCGGATGGAATTTTGGGAGAGCAGAACGCCCGAATTAGCCAATGCTAACATATAGCATTGGCAGACCTCTCAAAAACGTCTTTACAGGATGGTCCAAAAGTTGGCTCTTGGCCCAAAGCTCCGTTCCACATGTGTGTCAATGCTGAGGGGAGTGAATTTTTTTGGACCACTCTAGTTTACTTGCTGTGAATTTTTGAAGTCTCTCGTTCAAATGAATGGAGCTCTCGCCGGCTGACGCATGCGCAGATGCATTTTTTCACAATTGTCTTGTGGGCGGGACCACTCGCGGCCATTTTGGATTGCTCCAGTAGAGCACATTTTTTGGCCCATTAGTTAGAACGGCGGAGATAGGCGTGACTCTGTCCATTAATATATACAGTCTATTAGGGGTGGGAACCTAAGGGTACCTCACGATACGATACGATACACGATACAAAGCTCACGATAACAATAATATCACGATAACGATTTTATCACGATACGATGATTATTGATATATTGGTCAGAAATATACAACATGCCAATTTATGGCATAAATAAAAGAAAAATTACTCTTTATTTCATGATAAATAGAATGGATATGCGTAATGTAGCCATATATTAAGTATTGATACCAATTTTGAAAAAAATTTGTAAAAAAAAAAAATTCTATTTTTTTTTTTTTTTCAAAATCGATATCGATACTTGGCAAATGCATATCGATAATCGAATCGCGGGAGAAAGTATCGCGATATATCGAAACATCGATATATATCGTCACACCCCTACAGTCTATGGTCCCGACCAGCTCTTACGTTTTAAAACTTGGCCCTCGACCAAAATGAGTTTGACACCCCTGCCCTCGCAGAACACGAGGGAAATGTGTCACAAGTTAAGTATGTGTCAGAGCCGCTGTGTCCATGTCGGAAACTGTAATTTCTCCGGCCTGTGTGCGGCCCCAGCGTCTGCCGCCCACCCTGTCTTTTGAGCCGTGCAAGCATATTGTCCTGCTCTCTTCTGCTGGGCCTGTCCTGTCCCCTCCACCCCAGGCCCCTGTCCCCTCTACCCCGGCCCCTGTCCAGTCTGGCCTTTGAAATGTGCAGAGGAGCTGACACACACTTGCGATATCCGGGCAGCGCTATTTGAAGTGTGCCATTGTAAAAATAAAAAAAGAGTAAAAGGAGTGAATTTGCTTAGTTGAAGCTGTTTTTGCTTTTTTTATTCCGCCACTGTTTGTGGTTGAAGTAAACAAAAAGAGGTTTCATCATATAAATGTAGTTCTATGAGTTGGTAGGCAGCCCTTCATATATTACAGGGAGCAGGTCTATCAGACGTTAGTTAGACGTTTGAAGGTTATGTATAGGTATTTTCACTTGGACCAGCTTTACACGTTTTAGTGAGAGAGGGCAGCCCCGGGACATTTCGCATTCACATATGAATAGAGTCAGCCTTTCTCGGGAGGGACAACGTCTCTTGAACTCCCCCGCTGGAGCCAAGAGTGATGTGTGGTCTGACTGTAGGCAGCAGCGATGTGTGATGAAATGATCATCAAAAGCACTTGTTTTCATTCCATTCATTCCATCCATCCTGTCCACAGTTTAGCCATCCGCTGTCATATATTGTGTTTTTGACCACAAATGTGTGTCTTTTACATACCAACCGAAAAATCACTAAGTGAGGCAGGCAGTGACCCGGCCTCGCAGTGGGGGGTGATTATGAGGCCAGCGTTCTGTGAGATTTCATAACACTTTAAAGCAACTTTTGTTAAAGTTAAACTCATCATTATACCAATGTGCAGAAACCTGTACTTTTCCACTACTTGTTTTGACTATCTCTGCAGGCACTGTGGCAGCTTCTGATTGGAGGACTCTATTTCTCCTGAGTATATCACGACTTGCTGTCGTAACATCCCTTGTTCGTGTGCTTTGTTCGTGCTGTCTCTACCATTGACAATAAAACATGTCTTCTGTCTGAACTTAAGACGTGATCCCAGACTTTGTCATCTTCTCCAGTTTGATTGCATCCAATTCCAACACAAAGCTTCCACCCTAACCCTTGTCTTTTCTCTTTTTTGGCAGAAGTTTGGCAAACATAAATGTAACACATTCTTTAGATGTTTTAAGTGCCACTTAAGCCAATGTTTTGCTTCAAATGTCGATAGGAATGATAAGGATGGGAAGTGAAGGACACCCAAGAGCCGACTGCAGACAGCTCACGAAACGAGAGTGGAGACACCTGTTTGTTTTTTGTACATTTTCTGACCATAAAACACTTTTAACCCTTGTGCAACCCTCAGGTCAATATGACCCGCCACAGTGATTATAGGTAGACCCTTTAGACCCTAAATTATAGTCTGTAAGGGTAGAACTTAAGCCAAATTCGCGGACGACACCACCCTCATTGGACTCATCTCCAACAACGATGAGTCCGCCTACAGGAGGGAGGTGGACCGGCTGGTGTCCTGGTGCAGTGGTAACAACCTGGAGCTGAACGCCCAGAAGACAGTGGAGATGATTGTGGACTTCAGGAAGAGCACTGTCCCCCCGCCCCCACCCTCCGTGATGGACTCCCCCATCACCTCTGTGGAGTCCTTCCGTTTCCTGGGCACCACCATCACCCAGGACCTCAAGTAGGAGCCGACCATCAGCTCCCTCATCAAGAAGGCCCAGCAGAGGATGTATCCTCACCTCCTCCATGACCGTGTGGTTCGCTGGAGCCACAGTCAGGGACAAACAGAGACTACAGCGCATTGTGCGCTCTGCAGAGGAAGTGATCGGCCGCAGCCTTCCATCGCTGCAGGACCTGTACGTCGCCCGAGCTCGAGGCCGGGCTGGTCGTATCACAGCCGACCCCTCTCACCCTGCACATGGACTATTCCAACCACTCCCCTCAGGCAAGAGGCTGCGGTCCATCAGGACTAGAACCTCCCGCCACAAGAACAGTTTCTTCCCCTCTGCTGTTGGACTCTTGAACACTTCTTAACCTGTCCCCCCGCCCTTTATAAAGTCACTTTACTGCCCATCATACGTCACTTTACTTCACTGTAATGCTGTCACCTTACATTGTGTGCACCATGTTGTATATAGTATATTGTATATTGTAAATAGTAACTGTAACTCTATTTTAAATTTAAATTTATTCCTTAGAAGTGTTTTTTACTCTTTATTTTTTATTATCTCTTTCTGACTGTTGCACTGAGCCAAAGCAATTTCCAAGTCTGTGACTTCCTGTTACTTATGTTGCAATAAAAATGATTCTGATTCTGATTCTGAATGGTGCGGCTAACCACAATGAATTAATATACTTAGAAGCATGGCGACAAAAAAAAACTGACACCAGGAAAACTACTCCCAGAGTAACAATCGTTCCCTCTCTACCTCGTAGGCTCCAGGGAGACCGCCTTCACCTATGCCATAAGCGCGGCGGGCGTGGTGAACTCGGTGAGTCGTGCGTGCCGGGAGGGCGAGCTGTCCACGTGCGGCTGCAGCAGAGCGGCACGCCCCCGGGACCTGCCTCGCGACTGGCTGTGGGGCGGCTGTGGCGACAATGTGCACTACGGCTACAGGTTTGCCCGTGAGTTTGTGGACGCACGGGAGCGGGAGAAGAACTACCCACGAGGCAGCACCGAGCACGCTAGGATGCTCATGAACATCCAGAACAACGAAGCAGGACGACAGGTACCAGTTTTATCTATTTATTTACACCGCACTGCAACAGCCTTGTGATGCTTTCAAAGACTTCTGGTAACTTTGTCTTTGCACTCATAAATCGAATTTCTATTATATACACTGTATACGAATAGAACCCACACCTTTGGCGACTTCTTTATTTTAAGCGTTGGATTTCTCCATATTCTCAACTCCAACAGCACAAGTAATTTAATTTCTGCACCTTGATTGATCTTTTTCTTAGCCATGCGCCCTCTGCTCCTCTGAGAAGGGCAGACTCTTTTGGTCCGCTGCTAACGGTTACACACTTAGAGTGGGCCTTAATATGATTTATTATACGGCTCCTCACAGCAGCAGTAGAACGCTTCATTGATTTAAATGTAATTTCAAAACGTTCCACCGGTCATTATTTTCTATAACGGACCTCTCAAAACAATAATGACCGCTGCCCATGGCAACGCACTCTCTGCTTGTATTTCAAATGCGTGGATAACTCCGCAAGTAGTTCCGGCCACTCCGGAGCTAGCCACGCTCAATCAACACACTTAAATGTTAATCGGAGAATACTTATACATATACATTCTTCACACACGTGCACGGAGATTTTCGGAATTTTCTGGTCTTGTCTTCATGACAAAAATACTATTTCTCTGCGTCAAAAAGCGATCGTGAAAAACCCGGAAGTAGTTCCGGCCGCTCAATAAACGCAAATGCCAATCAATCAACGCAATTAAATGTTAATCGGAGAGTATATTATACATATACATTATTAATACAAGTGCACGGAAGTTTTCAGAATTTTCTGTTTCCATTTTCATGACAAAAACACTGATGTAATGCGAGAAAAGGCAATCCCGAAAAACCCGGAAGTAGATAACGGGACATTTTCGGACACATTTGCAGAGGATCGAATTATGGATTTAGGTTAGGTTTATGTTTGGGTCACTCACCGCTGATGTTCAGAATTCTTTGTTCAGTTTTCATGCAGTTCCAGAGAGTTCTAGTTTGGAAGTTGCTAGCCTAAGTGTTGCTAGAATAGCCACTGCAAAGCCTTTGGGAACCATTTATTTTCTGTCATTAAATAAACCTTTCGGCATTCCTAAGGGTGGACTGAAGTTTATTTTGTGTGTTCTGTTGGTACAAAGCCGTATAATAAGAGGGATAACGTATATTACGCAGGTCATTATCGGAAAATAAGTACCTTCAGGGCGTCGGGGTCCGCTTCGCCCTGTCGGTACTTATTTTCCGATAATGACCTGCGTAATATACATTATCCCTTACATATTTCCTGATTTTGCCTCATTTAAGGAAAGCAAACAAAACACTGAAACACTTGCAGAGGGATTGTTTACTTCATCACATTGATCGAAGTGAGTGAGTAGCCTATAAAGCTGTGTTCAGACCGGCTCATGCTTTCCGGTGACGTCCTCCATGGATGTCCCCACTCCCTTCGCCCTGCGTCCTGCCCAACGCGTCCATGCCTCCATCTACCGTATGTCCATGCATTGGTGGTGTGAACACAGCTTTGGCCTATATTTTCCATATGCACTTAAATGCCTCTGCTAACCTTGTATTGCTCCTTTAGTCAGGATGGTCCTTGTTTGTGCTGCTGCAGAGGAACATCAAACATTCAAAGTAAAGGAGTTTTTGTCTGATAAAAAATTCCAACCATTTATGAGATGCCGTTGGAGACACCAGGTTTGTCAAACTCAAGCCATTTTTTTACTTAAATTATTATTTTTTATTTGTATGAACTTGCAGCATTGATGTTGAAGGCTACATGTTGTACATAATTGAAGCTAGTTTTCTTATACAAATATATATATTTTGGAACCCAACATGTAATTAGAAGTTAAACAGTTAAATATTAGTAATAAGTCATTGGCGTATCAGATTAAATATGTTATACAGTACATATTTGATCCAGTTTTGGTTCAGTCCAAACAGTAACTATAAAATGCCACCAACCTATCCCACTGTTGTCCTGGGTCAACACAGTATTTCAGCACGGGTCAAAACACGTGGGTTCGTAACACAGATTTCTTTTCTGAACAGAAGAGCACAGACTTTTCTTTCTTTAAAAGTATATAGGAGGATTTTCCCCAAATTTTACAAAATAATCGGCCTCTCTTTTGAAAAAATGCACACGCTATGTGACATTATAGACGTATATAACTTTGGTAACACTTTACATTACGGGCCGGTAAGTCCATGGTACTTACAGTGGTACTTCTAGGTACTTACAGTGGTACTTCTAGGTACTTACAGTGGTACTTACAGTGGTACTTACGGTGGTACTTACGGTGGTACTTACGGTGGTACTTACGGTGGTACTTACAGTGGTACTTACAGTGGTACTTACAGTGGTACTTACGGTGGTACTTACGGTGGTACTTACGGTGGTACTTACGGTGGTACTTACGGTGGTACTTACAGGGGTACTTACGGTGGTACTTACGGTGGTACTTACGGTGGTACTTACAGTGGTACTTACAGTGGTACTTACAGTGGTACTTACAGTGGTACTTCTAGGTACTTCTAGGTACTTACAGTGGTACTTACAGTGGTACTTCTAGTGGTACTTCTAGGTACTTATTGTGGTACTTACAGTGGTACTTCTAGGTACTTACAGTGATACTTAGAGGTACTTATTGTGGTACTTACAGTGGTACTTCTAGGTACTTATTGTGATAATTCTAGATACAGCTGTAACTTAGTAATTCAAGGACACTACAGTATTATTCCTATGTAGTAAATGTGGTACTTCTACATACATACATACAGAGGTCATTTGTAGGATTGTTTGACTATAAAACATAAAACAACATTATGTAAAACAAACGTCTTTATTAATATGGAATAAGTAGCACAGAAAGGACAGTATAAATACATTTAATGCATATTTCAAAACAAGTTTCAAGGACAAGGGAAACACTGCAAGAACTAGGTACCCAACCCAAGTAACAAGAATTACACATTACCAGGTACTTACCAGCCAAGTACCAGGTACTTACCAGCAAGTACCAGGTACTTACCAGCAAGTACCAGGTACTTAACAGCAAGTACCAGGTACTTACCAGCAAGTACCAGGTACTTACCATAGGGACTGGCCCATAATAAGACAAAGGACTTTAACATAAGTACCAGTGATAACACCAGTAATTATACAGTAAGTACCAGGTACTTACCATAGGGACTGGCCCATAATAAGACAAAGGACTTTAACATAAGTACCAGTGATAACACCAGTAATTATATAGTAAGTACCAGGTACTTACCATAGGAACTGGCCCATAATAAGACAAAGGACTTACCCATAAGTACTAGTGATACCAGTAATTATATAGTATACCATGTACTTACCAGCAAGTACCATGTACTTACCAGCAAGTACCAGGTACTTACCATAGGGACTGGCCCATAATAAGACAAAGGACTTTAACATAAGTACCAGTGATAACACCAGTAATTATATAGTAAGTACCAGGTACTTACCATAGGAACTGGCCCATAATAAGACAAAGGACTTACCCATAAGTACTAGTGATACCAGTAATTATATAGTATACCATGTACTTACCAGCAAGTACCTGGTACTTGCTGGTAAGTACCTGGTACTTGCTGGTAAGTACCTGGTACTGGTAAGTACCTGGTACTATTATGGGCCAGTCCCTATGGTAAGTACCTGGTACTTACTGTATAATTACTGGTGTTATCACTGGTACTTATGTTAAAGTCCTTTGTCTTATTATGGGCCAGTCCCTATGGTAAGTACCTGGTACTTGCTGGTAAGTACCTGGTACTTGCTGGTAAGTACCTGGTAATGTGTAATTCTTGTTACTTGGGTTGGGGTACCTAGTTCTTGCAGTGTTTCCCTTGTCCTTGAAACTTGTTTTGAAATATGCATTAAATGTATTTATACTGTCCTTTCTGTGCTACTTATTCCATATTAATAAAGACGTTTGTTTTACATAATGTTGTTTTATGTTTTATAGTCAAACAATCCTACAAATGACCTCTGTATGTATGTATGTAGAAGTACCACATTTACTACATAGGAATAATACTGTAGTGTCCTTGAATTACTAAGTTACAGCTGTATCTAGAATTATCACAATAAGTACCTAGAAGTACCACTGTAAGTACCACAATAAGTACCTCTAAGTACCACTGTAAGTACCTAGAAGTACCACTGTAAGTACCACAATAAGTACCTAGAAGTACCACTAGAAGTACCACTGTAAGTACCACTGTAAGTACCTAGAAGTACCACTGTAAGTACCACTGTAAGTACCACTGTAAGTACCACTGTAAGTACCACCGTAAGTACCACCGTAAGTACCACCGTAAGTACCTAGAAGTACCACTGTAAGTACCTAGAAGTACCACTGTAAGTACCATGGACTTACCGGCCCGTAATGTAAAGTGTTACCATAACTTTTACTGGAAGTGATTTGAAAGGGATTTCTCCAAATAGAATGCTAAACTTTACCTGGCAACTCACATCTCACCAAAATGATTGACAATTATGAGGATCAATAATCTTGATGAAATAAAATACTGTATCTAACAATGATCTGAGTATCATTGATGATCACGTAGCGTCCACCAAAGCACATTTTATTGACTTTAGGCATACGGCCTGACTCTGGATGTTTATTGGGGAGGGTCCAAAGTGCATGGTGCAGGTCAACGGGTCACGCTCACATTCCGAGAGCAGCCCCTTGCGCGGGGACTTGAGTGCGCTAGGGGAAACCGGAGCCTAGACAGTGGCTGATAGATTGACTGATGGAGAAGGCTTCACACAGATAGATGTATACCTGTAGACGGATGAGATGGTCGGGTTACTCTGCTCACGTTTCTCGTTTTTGCTTGAACAATGACTTCTACTGTCAGGGCGTGTCCTCCTCTGACCACCATGACACGCCCACTCGGTTTACTTTCTTTGGTCGCCCAATATCATTTCTGAGGCCAGGCATGTACACACTTTTGCTTTTTTAATAACAAATATACTACCCTCTCCGTTTTAAAGGGGAAATTACCCTAACTGTAGTTAT